CAATAGAAGCTATCAGTCATAACTCTATAATAGGAAAGAATATTTTTCTCTTGAATCTTGACATCAAGACCCTCATGACCATGAAACTATAAAAGCTAAATAAACATTTTCTCTCTGAGATAGTTAAACCATTCTTTTTGTTCAAAGGGAGAAGGGAGTATACAGTTTCCTTTTCCTGTTCCTTCATACGACTTTGAGAAATTACTATTAAATCACTAAGAGACGTCTTAAAAATGTGACTTCTGTAAAAAGCAGTCATAACCCCTAGTCCCAGGGATTCTGGAAGTCACTGACATCTGGGCTCAACCAACCCTTCTAAATAAAGAAAAATATATCAAATGTTAGTCAAGAGCTGTGCCCCGAAGTAACAATCAAACTGAACATTTTAAGGAGCATGTCATGCCATCAAGAATAAATACATAACTGAGGATTGAAGGAAGACCCTGGAGTATAGTTACTCTTTTTTTTTTTTTTTTGGAGACAGAGTCTCACTCTGTTGCCCGGGCTAGAGTGCCGTGGCGTCAGCCTAGCTCATAGCAACCTCAACCTCCTGGGCTCAAGCGATCCTCCTGCCTCCGCCTCCCGGGTAGCTGGGACTACAGGCAAGCGCCACCATGCCCGGCTAATTTTTTCTGTTTTTAGTTGTCCGGCTAGTTTCTTTCTATTTTTAATAGAGACAGGGTCTCGCTCTTGCTCAGGCTGGTCTCGAACTCCTGAGCTCAAGCAATCCTCCCGCCTCGGCCTCCCAGAATGCTAGGATTACAGGCGTGAGCCACCACGCCCGGCCAGTTACTCTTTTTGTTAATGCCTATATGGCATGATCTACCACTTGTTCTTGGGTCTTCTGGAGTAAATCTACTTGAGTAAATAAGTTTTGGGGGACTCAAAAGAAGCAATTGATTTCAAGGGTTCCCAGGGAGTAGAATGTAAATGAACTTGAATTTCTATTCAAAATGAATAAAGACTCGTAACACAGTATGACTTAGTCCACTGTAATATTTGCTTAAGGGTGAAAGGTTTGGCCCTGGTACTATGAAGGCCATTTAGAGCCTGTGAAGGAGTACCCAGCAGTGCCTGGTATATCACCATGTGACAGCAAGAGCCACCACTGGATCAGGGACATCTTGGAGTTTTACCTGAAACTCCGTGAGAGAACTTAAATTGAAGTGCAGGTTGAACATCCTAAATCCAAAAATCCAAAATCTGAAGCTTTTTTGAGGGTCAGCACATTGTAAACATTTCAGATGTTTGGATTAGGGATGTTCAACTGGTGAGTATAATGCAAATATTCCCAAATCTGAAAAATATCCCAAATCCGAAACACTTGTGGTCCCAAGCACTTCAAATGAGGGCCACTCAACCTGTACCATATAGTGTGTGGCTTTTTCTTCCCTGTGGTTGTGGCACACCTTCACCTCTTTCACCAACCTACTAAGACATCTTAAAGATCCCACAAGAGAATCAGCCATTTTGTTTACTCATTAGGGTAGCCCAGAGTCCTTGGCACTCTGGGTCCACCATTCTGAGCTTGGTCAGGTAGGCAAGATGGGGCCCCAAGTCCTCGGGAGTGCTAGCATTATTGATACTTCCTCTGGGGGATGAGGGGTTGCAGGAGACTCCTGTTTCTTTAGGTCTCACGACTGTTTTAAAACCCTTCCCTTGCATGGTAGGGCCTTATCCCACTCCAACAGATTTGCTTTTCAGGTTCTGAAATCCCTTCATGTAAAATATTGCATGGTGGTCTGATTAGTAGTTATGAGACAAAAGACAGATTTTCTCTAACTTTGGCATCTCATATGTCCTTTCTCATCCCAGTTTTCTTATATAACTTCCTCATCTCTCTTTTCAGTTCTGGTATTGATTATTTAGTGTTTCTGTAGCATGTTATAGCCGGGTTCCTTGCGATCATTTTTAGTAGTTACATGATAAATCATGTGCAGAGCATGAGCTAGTACTTAGCCAAAGAATGATATGGAAAAGCTCTGCCAAACCCAGCTTCCTAATTTTCCTTTAATAAAACTCTACTGTGTCATTTAGTTTGTTCTCTTTTTAAAACTGGATCTTCCATCAGCCTGTTTTAGGGGAGGGTACTACCAGGTCTACTGCATAAATGATTTGACTTGAAGTTGAACTAAGAATACTGCAAACTACTTCCTAGAGTTATTTAAAAAAAGAATGGGAAAGGACTTTTTTGAAAACATATTTTTTTTTAATATAACTATCCTGGGTTTACAAGTTCGCTCATTTCCTAAAGGCCTATCATACCACCTTGGAACTCCTTTGTGTTTTGTAGAACAAGTTTCTCATTCTAACATAGAAATTCTTACTTGCCTTGTTACCTAAACGCAAACACATTCCAGAATAATCACTGGCACATAGTAAGTGCTCAATAACTATTTGTTGACACTTTGGGTTTCTGTATTTCTTATTACTAGGATATTGTCTCCTCTTAAGCAAAATATTCAACAAATGCCAAGTAGCTGTTCTGTGGTTTTTCACAGTCGTTTGCGTAACTCTTTACCTCTCTAAAATCCAGCCATTTAGAGTCTCATCAATGTGGAACCCAACTAAAAATAAAGAAGAAAATAACAGATGCCTAAGTTTAGAGTTTCCTATCATCTGTTTAAAAAGGCAGGGAAACGTGATACATCTGGGAAATCTTTTTGTCACAAATGTTTGATAAGGTGCAGTACTGGAATCAAATGTCACGAGGTGACTGTCAGCAAGTTGCTTAATCTCTTTGGCTTCAGTTTTCTTATCTCTTAAATGTGAGAGCAGCACTCAGTGATCTCTAAGGCCCCTTCCAATTCTAAGTCTTCTGTGATCCTGCGATGCTCAGGGCACTTCCCCCCTCCAGTCCTGTTTGCTCATCTGTGAAATGAAAGGTGAACAAGTATTAAAGTCCTGACAATCTGACTTTAAGCTATCCAGAAAATCTAGCTGTCCAGAAGGACCATTCCCCCAGGATATTGGTTAGCCAAGATTTTACTGTACATTAATACATAGTTAAAAGGACTAATTTCGTGCCTAGGAAAACATTTGGGACTGGTTAAAACTGTGGAAAAATCCTAATTCTTTGTAGGGAATGTTGATTTCAGTGTATACAATTGCCATTTGTTATTGCATGTTTCACCCCCACCCCCTTTTAGGCTAGAGTTCTGTTTGGAGTGTGTTAGGTGGGGTGCACATATATCAGATAGGAGCCTGGCAGTGTGAAGATTTTCTCCTGACAGTACTAATCCCCTGTCTCTAAGGGCACTGTTGATAAGTGGTATCCAAAGTAACACTTCAGAGCAGGTGACGTGCACTGCCGGGCTGCCCTGCATCCCAGCATCTTTTCCCTGCAGTGGTGTCTGCTTCCAGAAGTCTGTGATTGTAGAACTGGTTGGTACTGATACAGAGGAGTGTGCACTAATCCTCTGATATTGACTCTGAAAGAGGAGGGTGGGACAGAGAGAATGAGAAGACAGGAGCTTTAGTTAGCTGCCAGCATGTGATACCTAGCCATGATCCTTTCTAAGCCTTGATGGAAATGAGTGACAGGATGGAATCAGCTCGTCTATGCCCCCAATACTTCTACCTTTTAGAACTAGACAGATGAAACCAAGTCCCATTTCTCTGCAGAGGACAGCCAACCCAATCTGACTTTGACACTGCTTCTATCCTTGCTGCTCCCCTTCCTCAGGAACTTCTAGTAGCCCCCTGTGTCCTGCCATATGGTGTCTCAGTTTCTGCCTGGTGTGCAAGCCCCTCTAAATTCCAGCCCGACACACACCTCTCTGTATCCAACCTTGTTTCCCACAATTCGCCAACCCCATTCTGAGCTGCCATGATATGCCCATTACAGTTTTCATAGCTTTTGTTCATTTTGTTGTCACTACTTGGGATGCTCTCCCTTCATTGGATCACTTAAATCCAACCACTTTCTTCAAAATTTAACTGCAGGCCCACCTCTTACAACAAGTGTTCCATGAGCACTCCATGCTTTACCGCTCCCAAGCCTCATTTAAGGTTACTCATATTCTGCCCTGTAGAATACATTAATTTCGCCTTCTGTGCAGCTCTTGACACACACAGAACAGAGTACACAGTGGATGCTGTTCTAAACCCTGAATAGAGGGTTAAGGTTCAAAGGGAAGCCTTTTAGTTAGTGTTTGAGAAGATGATGTCCTTGTGTTCCAGTCTGGCAAAGACAAACAGTGGTGGTAGAGGCCATAGCAGGGCAAGCATGGTGGGCAGATGAGGGTAGCCTCTACTACTGTGTCTCACGGCTCACTCTGGAAAGTTATTTGTAAAAGGACTTTGAAGTAATTGATCAATTTAAGTGTGCAAGTGAGAGACTGGGAAGGAATGTGGTGGAGGAAGAATGAGAGTTTATGGGGTGGGAGATAGATACACCTTGGTTGTTTAAGGTCATGCGATGTTCATCTCCACCTCCATCTCCTCCTTCCCAGCATGCATCTTCCCTTCATCTAATCTTTTTTTTTTTTTTTTTGAGACAGAGTCTCACTCTGTTGCCTGGAGTAGAGTGCCGTGGCGTCAGCCTAGCTCACAGCAACCTCAAACTCCTGGACTCGAGCAATCCTACTGCCTCAGCCTCCCAAGTAGCTGGGACTACAGACATTCGCCACCATGCCCGGCTAATTTTTTCTATATAGATTTTTAGTTGTCCAAATAATTTCTTTCTATTTTTAGTAGAGACGAAGTTTCGCTCTTGCTCAGGCTGGTCTCGAACTCCTGACCTTGAGCGATCCACCCGCCTCAGCCTCCCAGAGTGCTAGGATTACAGGCGTGAGCCACCGCGCCCGGCCTCCTTCATCTAATCTTGATCTAATTCATCTCTTCAGGAGGCAGGCCAGGCTTGCTACTTGTGATCCATCACAACTCATTCTTAAATTAAGTTCATGGCCAAGCCTTCATTGTCAACCTGTAGACTTGCAATTTCTGTGTCTATTTAAGCTCCACCACTACTGTTTTTTTTTCTTCTTCTCACACATTAGATAACTCCGACAGCCCAGTGTACCCACGCCCTGTTGAAGATGATCTACTGCTCCCATTGCCAGGGTCTCGTGACTGTGAAGCCATGTTACAACTACTGCTCCAACATCATGAGAGGCTGTTTGGCCAACCAAGGGGATCTCGATTTTGAGTGGAACAATTTCATAGGTGAGCAAGCAATTAATATATTTGTGGTGCTGGAGGTAGCCCCACTTCCAATCACAAGTAATGTCATAATTGACAACTATAAAATTTATGTTCATTTTAGTGTTAGTTATTTTGTGTTTGTTGGACTTTGAGAGTAGTAAAAAAAAAAAAAAAATCACTGCAAGCCAATGTTCCCTTCAACTAATGGTAGCATTTCTGAAGACATTAGATACAAGTGACTACCAAGTTTTAATAATAAGAAAGTTCCTTTTTCATATTTCCGCCTACAAATCCATTTTGGTTATGATCATAGGCTTGTGTGCATGTACAGCCCTCACGGAGCTGTGAAAGTAGCTATTAAAATGTTATGTCTGTTACACTGCAACCAAATCTCCTACAAACTGGCAAGATACCCATATGTTATTTGGATCAGGTGAAATCTGATTGTAGAAATTTAGGGGCTCTGTTTCTTTTTTCTTTTTATTATTTATTTATTTTTTCGAGATGGAGTCTCACTCTGTTGCCCAGGCTAGAGTGATGTGGCGTTATCGTAGCTCAACGCAACCTCAAACTTCTGGACTCAAGCGATTTTTCTGCCTCAGCCTCCCGAGTAGCCGGGGCTACAGGCATGTGCCGCCATACCCGGCTGATTTTGTTTTGTTTTGTAGAGATGGGTTCTGGCTATTGCCTAGGCTGGGTCTCAAACTCCTGGCCTCAAGCAATCCTCCTGCCTTGGCCTCTAGGGATTCTGTTTCCATAGAGGATTTAGTAAAGTAGACTGGTGAAAAAAAAGGAGAGGACTTTACCCTGATAATTACCACCTTGGAAACCATTACTGGGACCCAGACAGCAATGTTAGTAAAGTGGCCAGTTTCTGAGAGGGTTAATTATGATTTAGAAGAAAGGACAAATTAAGGGTAATTTCAGTATCTAGTCATCAGCTACCTTGATGCCTATTTGGCGCAAATATTAACCCCCAAACAACAGTGACCAGTGTTGAGGCTCCTAATGCTGAGTGTGAATGGGACCTCACACACATACAAACAGCTGACAAAAACAAACTCACATTTTCCCCATCACCCAGTAACATTTGCGTAATTGCAGAATTTGCGTGTCTTTATAAGCGCCAATTTTTCACTTATTTGTCCACGTTATGGGAATGTGCATGCAATTTTCTGGCTTTTTTTTTTTGGTGTGGGGGAGTGGAGTTGGGAAATGCTTTTTAGTCTGCACGAGAGCTAATTACCATATTAACTCCGTTTGAAAGTGCATCAATAAATTGGCTCCAACAGATTCTTGAGAACACTGACACAGAGAAAAAAAAGATGTGAATATTAAGCACTTCAGCACAATTGTAGCGTAAATAGCTCAAAGCTAGAAGACCTGAAAAAATCTTCTACACACAGAAAAGCAGAATCCCATGAAAGGGAAGGCATAAGACCAGCAAAGACACACAGGCACAAATGGCACATCATGCCTAGAATGAAGCCATAGGAGAAAGTCTTGCTTCAAAATATTTCTCATGAAAGTACAAGCCCATGGCATTTCCAGATCTAAAGTTGCTGTTTTTTTCTTTCTTTCTCTTTCTCTTTAATCCCAACCTCATCCCCACACCCAAATGTCAAGTTTGCCATTCACTTTTGCGAAATTGAGTTCTTAAAGAGAATTGGTGAGCCTTTTCCCTTTTCCTTAGATGTACTATTTCTCCATGCAAGGGAGTAGAATTTGCCATCCAGTACAAAAAAAAGGTATGGTGACAGTGATAGAGTTTTGCTAACTTTTCTATAGACACATCAGGAATGAGGGGTAGAGGGGCATGTCCCTCACACTGTTCTGTTACTCAAACATGTCTGGCAGAAACTATAACTAAAGTCTTCATATCTTTATATTAAAATACAAATTCTTCTACATATTTTTCCAAGAATTTGCAAGTCCATATCTAATCAAAACCATACTCTGGCTTGCTTAATTAATGTTTTTAATCATTTACTCTAAAACAAGGAGGGCTTAAGTTGCTGCTGTTATTGTTGCTGTGTATTTTTTAAATTACATTTCTTATCTTTGAAGAGACAAAATTAAACCCAAGTGGAAATTGATAGGATTTTTAAATCGATTTCCCCCAGTTATTTTAAATGATACTTTTTGGAGGGATGAGGCATATAATTGTATCTAAACTTCATTTTTAATGGGCATACTATTCTTTATTTCTAATAAGCAGATATAAAAGGCCAAGAGTAATAGACATTGTTAATCTTCAGTGCTTTTTCATGAATTTTTCACAAGGGTTTAATTAATCTGCACTGTGGTTGTAGAATTCCGTCCCAATTTACAGCCTCTGCTGTAAATTCTTTTTTTTTCCCCGTCTTTTTTTCCTTCGTCTCTCTCTTTGCAAGGAATTTTCTTTCCCCTTTAAATGACTGCAGTTAATGAATGGTCAAGGGCTTTTACCCCCCTTCTTTAAACCAGATCTTGGGGTTAAGTCAGGAAACTGCCTTTTGTTCTTTCAGTCAGGTCGTGAGGCAGAAGATGTGGGTTTCTGATTATTTGCGGCACAATGCAAAGGAATCACTTTCCCTAGTGAGAACGGACGCTTTGTTGCTGGGGGGAGGTGGGGGGGCAACTTAATGCCAGTATCCTGAGCGCTGAAATCATGCAGTTGGACTCTAGACCCTTTAAGAGACTAAGGATGGGTTTTCCAAATCTGTCACCTTGTTGTCATGCCCTCCCTTTCCTCTCTTAACTGCATCTGCCTATTGCCATGAAATGTGACCCTTCAGTAAATGTTGAAGTCTTGTCACCCTTTATCAGGATGGATCCAAATAGCTAAAGCACCTTGGAACTCGGTTTTATCAGAGGCTGGTTATATGAAATGTTCAGTTTGAGAAATAAACCAAACACCTCCCCACCTCCCACTTCCACCAAAAAAGTCAGTTTCTAGAGAATCATAAATTATGCTAAGGTGCAACTTGTTCTCTATCACATACTGTAGCTGTGTTAACACTTATTTGACTCATAGCCAACCCTATTAATGTCGCATGTTGCTGCCAGTGGGAATTTAGTATGGGGATTGCTGGCGGGGACACCAGCCAGTTCCTGGCAGGAGGCAGGAGGCAGGAGCCAGTCGGATGTCCCACAAACAAGAGCCCCATGGCTCACATCAACCAGAAGAAAACGAAAACACCAAACCAACCATCTCTGGATGTCTCTTGAAGCTTCTTATCAGGGTTGGCTGCTGCTACGGAAGAGCCGATTGATAGCCAATCATGACTTACCCCAGGGGTGAGAGGCAGCTTTGGCTCTGGGCTGCAGGCAGAATGCTCCTCAGTCGCATTCTTCAGCCATGCAACACACAACGCCATGGCACCGGCCCCAACAAAGGCCCAGCTTCTCTCTCCATTCCCAGGCCCTTGTGTATGGCCGGCCGGCTCAGAGTTTACAAAGACACCAAGCAGCCAGAAGAATTGGGGTTTATGTTTCCTTTCAGTCTTTCACAAACACATTAGTGATCTGCCCTTTCCTCCCCACTAGGGGAATAAGTAGTTACAAAATGCGCTGGTTTTTTGTTGTTGTTTAAACTTCTGCATTTTGGATGTTTATTATCTGTCTATTCATAATATTTTTATTTGGAGCAAGCGATTTCTTCTCAGCTTACGAAGGAATATGCTTTCTTTATGTAGCAGCCCTGATGATTTGACAATGATGAACACATTTAAGTTGTGCTCCACTTGTTTACAAAAGTCTCCTTCTGCTAGTGCATCAAAAGCATTTTTTCTCTCCTCTACTACAATGGTATAGCATGCTGTCAGCCTTTACTTAGAGGTTAGAGACATTGCTTTATTGGCACTTACCACAATGCAATCTGAAACTTCGTTTGTTATTACTTTTAAAAAAATTAAATTTCATGGAAATCTATTTGTGGTCTGCGACATCAGAATTGTACATCAGTTTAGAGAAATGACCCTATGCATTAATATTGTGTAGCATTTGTTCTAGATTGAAGGGGAAAGGTTGATAACCAAATTTGGCTTCATTGATATGCTGCTGACTGTACTCCTTTCCACTAGAGAGCTTAGGTAGAAGCTCAGCTGGGGGCTGCAGTTGGCCTGGGTGTTCTTTGGGGAAGAACACACAATCTTGTGGAGACCAGCCCACTACCTGAAAGCAGTAGATAATGTGGGTCTAACTTTTCCTGTTGCCATTCATTAAGCACTACAGTGTAAAGGGGAAAAACAAGTTTACAAGTCCACTGCTCGTCAGTAACGAACCATCCTTTCTGTCATTTGGAGATTTCATTTGCAAGATCTTCTAATTTTTTACAATAGGTATTAGGCAAAAATATTAAATCTCATAATCCCAATGAACATGTATGACAAGAAAACAAGTAAAGCATTTTTCGTTGAAGGGATTCAGTGCTTAACTGGAAAATGCTAGATTCCTCAAAGTCTGAAAGTGACTTGCAGGCTAATCAGTGAAGATACATACTGTGAGCACGTGAATTTTGTGCACTGTGTCTTGTGTTGTCTTTTCACTTGAAAAAAAAGGAGGTCCATGCTTTGTTTAGAATAAATTGAGGCCTTTATATTTGAAATGGGAAGTTTATCTTAATATAAAAACTGCGTCATTCAGAGTTTCATTATGTGAAAAGTCATTAGAATTCCTAGGAATGCTTTCATTTGCATTTTCCAACTGTGTACTCAAGGATCTGAAGGGTTTTATTTTAAAAAAAAAAAGAAAGTATAGAATTGGTATGCCAGGATTTTAACTGATTTATGTTTTTAACTCTTATAAATGGAACCTGAAATGCAAAGATCCTAGGGAAATGTCTGGGGGAACTGGCATGTTATTCTGCTTCCAGCCTTGGATTTGGCATCTGGGAGCCAGCTCAGAGGCTCTCAGTGACAGCCACTGACACACGAAGGAGTGAATAATCAGTATGATAGAAGATTCCTGACGGGATTCCTTGCTGTAGAACAAAGCATTCATCTGGCCATTTCACACTTTAGAGAGCTGCTGGTACATGATGACTAAATACAGTTTGGTGTAATGAAAATAGACACAAAAATATGAATTAATTATGATGCATGCTTTCTCCCCACCCCATGCAGGAAACATGGGGTAAAATAGTAAAATAATGACTGATTACCCAAGGCCAAACGTAATGATTTACTTTATATGATGTATTGTTCTTCCCCAAACCTCGTATTAGATGCTATGCTGATGGTGGCAGAGAGGCTAGAGGGTCCTTTCAACATTGAATCGGTCATGGATCCCATCGACGTGAAGATTTCTGATGCTATCATGAACATGCAGGATAACAGTGTGCAAGTATCTCAGAAGGTAATGAAGGCAGGATACTGGAAGGAGAGCTGGAGGCCCCCTCTGGCTTGCAATGTGGCTTCCCTAATATGACCTCACTTACTCCAATGCAGGTTTTCCAGGGATGTGGACCCCCCAAGCCCCTCCCAGCTGGACGAATTTCTCGTTCCATCTCTGAAAGTGCCTTCAGTGCTCGCTTCAGACCACATCACCCTGAGGAACGCCCAACCACAGCGGCAGGCACTAGTTTGGACCGACTGGTGAGCACTTTGGCAGGAATGGCTGTGTTCAATTACAAGGAACCGAAAACATTTGCTTAAAATGAATTTTTCATTGGAAAGCTCACAAATTTGGGTCTTTCAGGTGTAACTTTTCAAGCAAATTGTATGTGGATATCAGTAAATCTGCCTCTCTCACTTTCTAGCTCAGCAAGTTCCTATGTAGCCAAGGAATGTGATGCAATAAGTCTTGTCTCAAATCCTTCCTTTAGTTTCACCATGTATTTACGGAGCATCTACTATGTGCCCAGCACTGTGTTAGGCACAGGGAGGCTCAGAGGAATAAGGCAGGTCCTTGTTCTCAAAAGGCTGCAATATGGAGGCAATGACAGAGAAGCAGACATTCCAGGCTTATTAACGTCAGATGGTAGACAAGGGCTGTCTGGAAAGTATCCAGCCATTGTTAATATGTAATTTTCATATTACATGGATGGAAACTTTCCGGACAGCCCTCGTATAGTAAATGCTAGGATGAAAGAAGAGTAAAAAATATATACGTAGGCAAATTTCTTTATGCACAGCAACATGCTACAAGAATGTAGGAGAGTATTAATAGAGTAGTAGGAGGGAACACAAGAAGGGGAGCCCAAGGACACAAGAAGAGCAATAACAGGTACGTTTCAGGGTGGATAATATATGAGCTTGATTCTGACTGTAAAAGCCTTAGCAGAAGAGACCACGTCTTATTGTGTCTCCAGGGTACAGGACCTGGTGGGCCTCAGACAGTAGTTATGATCATGAGGTAGAATGGACAGTGGTTCTAGGCAACTCCTTCAGAGCCTGCACGTCAACTATTATTCTAGTGGTTCTGTACTTCTAAGTATAAATCGGATCTGCATCTTTCTCTCCCGACTAAAGTTGACAGCAAATTACTTATCACTCTGGAGATACTTTAGAAATGGTCAAAGGGCACATCCTTAGGTAATTTTGTGGTGTTTTACGGAGGTCTTTTGTTTTTTTCTTCATTAGGTTACTGATGTCAAGGAGAAACTAAAACAGGCCAAGAAATTCTGGTCCTCTCTTCCAAGCACCGTTTGCAATGATGAGAGGATGGCCGCAGGAAATGGCAATGAGGATGACTGCTGGAATGGAAAAGGCAAAAGCAGGTTAGCTCTGTTGAATGGATTTGCAGTCTCGCCCTTCCTGCATGCCTGGGTGACCGTCAGAGAGGGTTCTCTCAGTCGTCCAAGGAGGCATCGGGGGAAGCAATTCACACACAGTAGGCAACAACAAGATGGAAGGCTTCTAGATGTTCTTAGGACTGGGCTTTGCAGTAGAAATGTTGAGAAGGTCCCCAGCTACTTGCAAAGAGTGCTAGGTCAAAAGATTGACAGTAGTTATGTTCTAGTATTAGGACTGTTCCAATAGTGTCATTGTTTTAAAAATGTTCAATGTCTGTGGCCCTTTGTGTAATGGCCTGGCCTCATAAAGCACCAGTTTTTAAAAGGTCTCATCCTCTGACGTGTTGATGCCCTGTGTCCCTCCCTTACACACTCACTAACTTGGATAAGTTACCCGTTCGGAGGGCAATTTACTTTGCCACCCCAGCCTCCACAATAGGGGTAGCTTTCAAAAAGGTTATAGTCAAATTGGAGAAACAAGACATACCCAGAAAAAGGAGAGATTAGTGTTCAGTAGGAATTGAAGAACTTCCATTTAGTTGTGCTCTGTGGAAATACTAGAAATCTAGCAGATATGTTTGATGATCTCCTCATTCTTTTTGCTTTCCTAATAATCTTACTGGGGTGATTTCTCATTTCAGGTACCTGTTTGCAGTGACAGGAAATGGATTAGCCAACCAGGGCAACAACCCAGAGGTCCAGGTGGACGCTAGCAAACCGGACATACTGATCCTCCGTCAAATCATGGCCCTCCGGGTTATGACCAGTAAAATGAAGAATGCTTACAATGGGAACGACGTGGACTTCTTCGACATCAGTAAGCATTTGCAGTTTTCAAGTACAAATTGTTCTTGCATGCCTCCTCATGAAAACAAGGGGAATGAAATCGGTATTCCATTTTTTAAAAATAGGTGATGAAAATAGCGGAGAAGGAAGTGGGAGCGGATGTGAGTATCAGCAGTGCCCCCCGGAGTTTGAGTACAACTCCACAGACCACGCCGGGAAGAGTGCCAACGACAAAGCCGACAGTGCTGGTGCCTGTCCTGGGGCACAGCCCTACCTCCTCGCTGTCTTCTGCATCTTGTTTCTGGTTATGCAGAGAGAGTGGAGATAATTCTCAACCTCTGAGAAAAAGTGTTCATCATCAAAAAGTTAAAAGGCACCGGTTATCACTTTTATATCATTCTAGTGACTTTGCTTTTTAAATGAATGGACAACAATGTACAGTTTTTACTATGTGGCCACTGGTTTAAAAAATGCTGACTTTGTTTTTTCACTCAGTTTTTGGGGAGGAAGAGGGACTTGTACGTTAAGTTGGTTCCTGCTCCCCCAGAATCGTGTTAAATGTGGCTAACAGTGTAGGTACAGAACTGTAGTTAGTTGTGCATTTGTGATTTATCACTCTATTGTATGTTTGTTTGTTTTTTTCTCATTTTGTTTGTGGGTTTTTTTTCAATTATGATCTCACCTTGTTTCTTACAAGAAAACCAGGGTCCTTTCTTGGCATGTAACATGTACGTGTTTCTGAAATATTAAATAGCTGTACAGAAGCAGGTTTTATTTATCATGTTATCTTATTAAAAGAAAAAGCCCAACAAGTGGTAAAATTTCCATTTATCCCTGTTATTTTAGTTGCCGTATGTGGAGAGAAGTGGAGGCGATTTTGTTTTTTTAATTATTATTAAGTTAGGACAGAATGTGAAGGCACAAGTGGGCTTCTGAGCCACTTGTCAGATTGTATTCAAGCATAAATCCAAGAAGGTTATACATACTTCATTTATAGCTGGATTGGAAGAGACTGCAGACTACCATTTTGGTTGGAGTTGAATTACATAAGCTAAGATATAGGTCCATTTCTTGAACCCACTTAAAGTTGTAATCCATTTAGAAGATTCTTGATAGATAGATATAAGGCATTCAGGATGTCCCAGTTATCACATGTTCACACTTGGATTTGGGGGTGTATTTTTTTTTTTAAGTTAGCAAGCCACTGTGTGCTAGTTTTCATGTCCACACTGACCCTCTTTGAATTAATATCCCAATGGCAGCAGTAAATGACCAACAATCTCATTTGGTCCCCCTTGTTACAGTGGTCCAGATTTCAAACCTAACCATATATAGGGAGCTGTCTGGGAGCTAGCCAAACTCGGGGTACAGCCTGGGCTCAGGGAATAGTTGTCAACACTCGAGCAAAGTTTCGTCTGTGCACGTGTATTTGCATTTGTTTTTGGATCCCAGTTTTTGTTTTAAGAGAGTATAAGGTGTCTTGGAGTCTTTTTCTTGCCCAGTCCCCTCTTATTAGTAAAGTGAAGGTCTTGCAGTGGTTCATAGCTGTGTGCTTCCCATATCAGCCAAGGAGCCCACTTGGAGAATTATGTGTCCAGATTTTTTTATGTGGTGTTTTTTTTGGGGGGAGGGGTGGGAGTAGGTAAAGCTGAGAAGACTACATCTTAGCAGTGACCCATAGCCACGTGGGTGAACTAGCAAAGGCCACATCTGTTGTCCCAGGCCAAAGACTAACAACTGCCTTGGCCCCTTGGGAACCCTTTCCTTGTGTCCTTACCAAATGATGGCTCATAAAACTATGAGAATGTAACAAATCACTTTAAAAGGAGTTCCCAAAAGTCTACAGAAAGCCTAAAATTCTGCAAGTCTCTTCCTGCTTTAGACAGCCATTAATACCAACCAATTCCACAGAACCTAAAACCCACAAAGAGGTTGTTTGTGTTATTGTTCAATCTTCAGTTGTAAGAGTAATTCTCTATTTTTATATTGAAACATAATTACTTGATAGCTCAGGGTCTACATTTCATTCAACTTTTTACACCAAATTCTGCAGAATGGTCAACATGGAATATTGGGGGCTATTGTAAACAGAGGCTTAATTTTATTAGAAGTAGCCAGTTATTTATTAAAGCATGATGTTAATAAAATAGGCATATTCTGGCTGGTGTGTATAGTGTTTTTTTTTAAACAAATCACAGAAGACATAAAATTGAAAAGACACTCCATTTATGTACGAGGAAAAATAGATTGTAAATAGCTAAGCTGCCTTGTGAGAACTTGGAAAATGTGCTGATACTTAGTAACTACCTCAGTTGTGAGGAATTTCCTTTTTAGCTTAGACTGCCATTACTTTTACTTGGTAGAAATGAATCTGGTCTCCAAAATATGGCTCAAAGAGTTATCCCCATAGACCTTGTTAGATTGTTTTTAATTTAAAACCTTGAACTCTACCCAGCTGTTTTCTTTCAGTCAAGTTTTCTAAACCAGTAACATTTTCCGAATTAAATATTCTTGAAGGTTCTTCTGGACTCTTATTTATTTGTTTTCTTTCTTTGCATTTTTTCCTGTTCCCCTTTTATTATTTAAATTGTCTCTTGCTTTTGAACTTGAACTATGAAATAAACAAATCATAGATTTTTCCATTCAGGTCTGACTGGATAACTCTTGGCTTATAACCAGTTGGCAGGCTCATTCTCACCTCTCCCCCCCAAAAAAAGAATAGAGGCAAGTTCAATATTTAAAACCTTAAGAGTTTTGAGTATGAGGTAGAATAAAAGCCTTCTTAGGAGAAGACCTGACTTTTCCAAAGTTAATAGCATGTGAAGGGGTTGTGTTTTATAAATTCATGTATTTTTCTTTTGAACACTTCACCTACTCTGTATGTTAAAAAATTTACAACTTTAGACTTATATTTTATTTCAGAAATAGTAATAACACCTATTTTGATTAAAAGGCACTGCAAAGAATTGACTTAAATTTTTAAACTTTAGTTACTGAGTGTTTGAAACCTAACAATTTACGTGAAGTAGAAATTGTCATTTGTGATTACAGAACCAAAATAAAAATAGATGTAGATGGTGCTACACAAAGTTCTACTTCCCCTTTTGTGTGAGCAAAATATGTCTACTTACACAGCTAAAAGATAATAAGTTAATAACAGTTATCTACTAGCAGAGGCGTGTGTGTGTGTGTGTGTGTGTGTGTGTGTGTGTGTGAGAGAGAGAGTGATCTCACTGTTAAGCAAATACCAAACTACCAAATACAACTTTCTACCTTTTTTAAAATAATAGAAAAGTACTCAGAAAATTCTCCCAACTGAAAACTTAGTGGGAAAAAATATATCTCTGCATTCCATGATATATTTTATAAATTCAGTCTACTTTTATAACTCCTAATTCTTCTCAAATTCCTTTCTATATATGTGAAAAATTTCTGAAAGATGACATGGTAGCGGGAATTCTAGTCCATTAGTGAGCCAAATGCCCTATAATATTACTTGTCTAGTTTTTAATTAGATAATATATTGACAGGGTTTAAACACCAAAACATATAAAGGTATTGAGTGAGTTTCTCTCCCATTTTTGCATCCATCTTCCCAGTTGCCCCCACACCCCTAGGAAGTTCTTACCAGTTGCTTGTTTATCTTCTTCCAAAGTTTCTTATGCATTTATAAGCAAATAGGAGTAGAGATTTTTCTTTTTTAATATGAAATGTAGCATTTTATGCATATAATGCCCTATTTCTTTAGGTTAATTTAAAAAATACTGAGAGTAGAGGACTCCAAAGATACAGATCTATAATTAAGTTTGCGATTCCTATTCTAAAGGCATGGCTTCGCGGTGGTACCACATTTTGATTTTTACTGCATTTTGGCTCAGATTAATCTAGGTTGTTTTTCAAGAAACAAACATGAAATAGAATTAGAGGAGCAGTTTGGCATTATAGTGCTATAATCCCAGAGTGCTCAATTAGGATGCTCTCTGTGTTAAGGTTCATTTTTGGTAGTTTGTTTTCCTGTCATCACCAGTGAAGAAGACCAAAGCAATTGGCAAGATCCTCTCAGAAAACAGCACATTAGTACCATTGAGGGTATTAGGTTACTGCATCCAGTGGTCAAGGAGTCATTAGAGAATGCAAATAATTGTCCCAAGTTCAGTTTCCATGTAAAGTTGAATTTTTATGAATCAAGTGTTTGAAGAGACTTCCGACTTCATCATTAATCGGAAAATCTATAGGAATGCATTTCTCAGCATGAGTGTCGATGTGTGGAATTAAATGTACATTTCACTCTCCTTCTGACATTTCTTAAATGTTAGGAATTCTGAGAAAAAAAAAAGCACAGGGTTGTTGGAAAGAAAAAGATCTTCATACATCAATCCAACCAGGTAAAAGCAGATGAAAGATGACAAGTGTGGTTAAAGAGTAAAGATAAGGGTAGGTATGTGATGACCCAAGAAGGGTTTTATGATCTTGTTCTCTGGTCTTTGGGGAAGCCTTTGGCAATAACTTCCATGTTATTCTTAATTCTTTTGTTTCTTGCATGATAGGATTAGAAGACCTCTGTGTGTGTGTGTGTGTGTGTGTGTGTGTGTGTGTGTGTGTGTGTACACCTATACACACAGATTTATTGATTGATTGTATATTTCCAAACAATCCTAGGTAGACCTTACCCTGTCACTTACAGGCTGTCAGTATTCTGTGCTTGGGGAATGCAGACTGATTTTAATAATAGCCAAAGGGAAACATAATTAGGAAGGTAAGTCTCCTGCCAAGAAAAAGAAAGTACATATAAAATGCATTCCAGAACGCAAATAGAATTTCTTAGATTTACCACTGCCTGGGTTTGCTTTTCTGCATCACCATAGATAACCTAAAGCTGACTATAACCGGCTGTTTGTGGTGACTCACTGCACAGGGCATTTTGATACCAGGTTGGCCACAAAGAAGTAATCACAGCCAGTGGGTAATTTTCTGAGGAGGCGCGTCATGTTCCCGACACTCTTTCAGTCCATTTGTCTCTAAAGGTCTTTACTGCCCCTGATCTCACCTCTCTTTTAAAATGTAATGAAAAGTGGTTTTCACACTACCGCTTCAGTTTTGAATACCTTTCAACAAATTCTGGCAGCAGCCACAAATAGTCATTTAGACACATTTATTGTAAAAAGAAAAAAAAAAGAAACTAGGCATTTGCTGTTCATTTACCTGTACTATCCTGACTGAAAAGGGAGGCAGGAAGAACCTGTGTGCCTGGCTCTAAGGCTGGGCCGCATCAATTCTCTCACAGTCCTGCAGAGCAGAAGTCACTCCATTTTGCAGATGAGTCAAAGGACATGAAGAAGTTAGGTAACTTGGCTAAGGGTGACACCCACGTAAGAAATGCAAGAACCAGGTTTGGAGCAGATGTTGGTCTGCCACCAGAGATGTCAAGTGCTACTTTTCCTTCAATTTCCCTTTACCCTTATTCCATGTTGTCTAAATCGTTCATTAGGAAGGACAAGGCTTGTCAAGCATGCCACAGGTAGAGCTGCCCTGGCCCTAAGGAAGGGTCAGGGTAATGGCTATCGGAGGCACTCACTGGTTGACATGGCTGACCTGAGTAGGGGTGAAGGAGTCAAGGGCCATCTGGAGACAAATCTCTATGATGAAAAGGGTTTCTAGCTTCACACAGTGGCTCCTTCCCTGTGGACTTCAGAAAGAGCTCGAGTGACGTGGGGACTATGTGGCACCGATGTGCTGGTTCTTGAATAAGTGGTATTAACTCCAGTGTGATCCTGTCCACCCTCTCCAGGACAGCCTCATGAGACCCTGTGTGA